AATTCAGACTCTGCCCACGGGGTGAAGAAGCCATCAAAACCATCAAACGTGCCTTACTATATTGTCCATTTTATGCCGACATTTGCCGTGAGATGCTAATTCCGCACTTAATTAAATATCGTGGTCACTCTGATCAGTTCTGTTTAAACCTCTTACTGTCAGATTCAAATTACTCTATCTCTTTAAGTGTAGCCAAATTCTGCACATAAGCTACGCAGCAGCCTGACTGACAAATCTGTTCACCTAACTAACTAATCAATATTAATTTTATGTATCCAAGAGTTTTAGGGACTGGTTACTGACTGCAACAAAAATTCTGTTCTGTTCTATTCAAGTTGCTACCTTCAACCTCAGTGTTTCCTGGGGCAGAACCCCATCTGAAGACATGGAATCCAGATTTTCTGTCTTTGTCCCCAAGTTTGCACGGCTGGCCTTTTCCAACCTTCAGGGTTCTTGAGATCCAAAAGTCCTAAAAGCGATTAGAATCAGGCAGAAGGTGCATGGAACCTAAATCCCCTTTCAGCTCCCCACTGTTTCTCCAACCTGGGGAGAAAGGTGGTCAAGCCGTTAAAAAACAACCACCCCATCATCTCTCTGTTCTCAGTTTAGCTCTGCCAATCTGCAGCCAGGAGGGTTCTGTGCTTGTGGGAACATGCTGACTTTGTGAGCATTAAAGCTATTTCAATTCCTAAAGAGCTTGGGGGCTGGCTAATTAAAATATGGTTGCTTTGTTCATGTTTGCATCTCATTTGCATTTTCCTCCTGGGTCATTGTTAATCCACAGGAGGACACTTTTTGTATCTATGTCCTGCATGTGGAACTCCCTGCTCCAAGAGATGACTTTCCATCCTCTTTGCATTCTACTCCAAATGAAATGAAGTTTGGATTCGGTTGTTCAGTGGAATTCATTTCAGCTCTCCGTGTTTTCGTTTGTGGAGGTTGCTTTTTAGCCTTTTTATTTCAGCTAATAACAGTCAGCGATTTTATTTCTCACTGCCATTTTTAGAAAATCTGCTTTATATTTTATAAGCCACGTTGTGGGGTTTTTTTTTCACCCCCACCCCCAGTGAGGAAAACGAGGTAGCAATTTCTGTAGAAATAAATA